TCGTCCACTCAGGTATGCTGGGATCAACTGAATTTGGTTCTCGTCGGTCCACCCATTTGCCACTGCTGCAATATCCCAGTTAATCATCCATTCTGTTATGTCTTCATTGTCCCTCCCTGTAAAAGGCTGGATATCGACAATCGTTTTCCTAGGCCTAGGAACTGGCACTGGTCTTTGAGGGGCAACGTGAATTGCATCGGCTTCGTTTTCATCTCTGTGTGCCATTTTTTTCTATCCTTTTGGGCTCGTTGAAACGTTTATTTCAGTTAAAATCCCACTCAACTGTCACCATAAAATGTCACACACCGAGACTTAAGTTATCCTAACAGTAGTCCTTAAAGACTAAAGGTATAACCAAGATAGCACAAACACAGAAAGTTCACGTACTTCTTTGAGCCACTTCAACTCATCCTCCTATTCAAACTTTACATGCTGTATATATACTTTAAAGCAAGAGGATCTATATTTAGAAAATAATGAGCAAGTTTCATTAACGACATGAAGTACATAAAAAGTACGACGTGAAAACATGGGAAAGGAAGGGAAGGGCTGAATAGGTATGCTAAAACAAGCTTAATGACGCTAAACTAAATAAAAACATACGTAAATGATACCTGTGATACAAGGAAAACGAAATAAACAACGATGACTAAACTAGGCATTACGGTCTAACAATCCTGGGAAAATCCCGCACCTGTAAACAAAACAAAGAGAGGGGATGTGACGCAGACTTGCTTACGTGCGTGCCAGGGGTAGCCTACGATAATGATATGCAAAACAGAAGATCCTAAAATGAATGGGTCTACGGGGAAAATGTAAGCAAGCTGTGGAGACGGGCCTAAGGGGGTAAAAGGAACGTACAAAGGAGGGTTCGTGACACAGGCAAATTTGTAGTGAACCCAAACAAGGCCTGCCTGGCACCGGCCTTTGGGCCATATTTTGAAGAAAGCTTATGGGTATTGTCCAGGATCTTCCATGAGTCTAGAGCGATGTTGTAAATATTTGGATGAATTTCCAACCATCTCTAGAAGATCTTCTTTGCAGTTTTTTTGCCGCCAACCATGGTGACGACTTTCACTAAACTCCTGAACGAGCTTACAAGCCCCCTCCCAACCCCCAACTTCCCTCAATAGTGATGTCCCTGATTATCATTGTTGTGTAGTTTGATGATACAGTCGCTAGGCATTACAAAGAATAACATACTCTATTTGAAAACTCTCTATCACGTCCTCATTTGAAGGTCTTTCATTACCCCCACCTCCACTCATTTGAAGGTCTTTCAGTACGCCACAGATAGAAAGATACAGATCTGTGTGCTTGCGAGCTCTTGTCCTTTCAGCACATTTCCAAAACTTTGAAGGAAAATTTTCAAGATAGCTAAATGAGGGATGCCATATTGACCCTTTGCCCCCCCACCCCCCGCGATCTTATCACCAGCACGCCACTGGTGCTGTGCCCCCACATAATTTAAGTTTTAGTTTCTTGACAACCCTCTAGATAATTGATAAATTTTTGCGCCCCTGCAAACAGTGCAAAGGTTTTGTCTGGATAATGCAGTGCTAAAAGGACACAAAGAAGTGCACTGAAGTGAGACTGTTCTAGGGGATATGGGGCACCCAAAGAAATTTTTGAATATTAAGGCGTCTTCTTTGTCTCTGCTGGCCTTCTAGAGACCTAATGACCAGACAAGTCGGTTGTTTCAAACTTTTTTCGAGTTTTCGGCGCCCTATGACAAGCTTTGGCGCCCCTATTAAAGGTCAGCTTGAAGGGCCCTGGCCACCCGGTCCCCCCTACCAGGCCGCCACTGTATGGGGCCTTAAAGTTTTTTTACTACAGCTTAGGGACCAGTCATAATAAAGAATGGGGTTGGGGTTGAAAATATTTTTGAAAGAGTGCAGCTATTACCTTCAAATTCATTCAGCTATTCATTCAGCCCTCTTAAATCCAAGAATAATTTCTCATAGCCCCCCGGCACAATATGGAAAGACAACAAATTATTTGTCGAAATTATACATTTACTGTGATTATCTTGAGAACTGATGCCATGATGCCTTCGTTTGGTATATCTTAGCACAGAGGGAATTGAGGTGGAGACAGAGTCGGAGGCTTTCAGTGAAAGACCATATACCAGCTGAAAAGTCTCTACAGTTTCTTAAAAATGTATTGAGCAAATTAAGGTGGATAAGGAGGAAGACATTAATATTAAGCCATGGAAAGCAAATGAATTATCCTTCTATTATAACTTGCTAGAAAGGTCATTTTTACAGGGGAAGTTTATCAAAGTCAAAGGCGATGTTCTCTTGAACCTAAGTAAAAAAGAGCTGGAGCTAGTATGCTAAGCGGCAAGTTTGACGGCGCCAGAGTGAAACGCCTTGCAAAGAAAAATGAGAGAAAGGGCAAAAAAAATAGTTGAACATGACCTGAGAAGCTACTTGCAGGGGCAGACTGGCCGGTCGGGCTACCGGGCGATCGCCCGGTGGGCTCTCCCAAAATTATTACAATTTTTTCTTAATTTTGCTATTAAATGAAAACTCATATTGCTTGGTAGGGGCTCTCTTCTGTGGATAGAGAATGAATAAAAATATCAATTTGCGGTATTCAAGTACTGAAAAAGCATTATCCAAAATTTGCGGCCCCATGTAAGCAAAGAGAATCCTGGGCCCAGGGCTCATTGACTCTAATGCAATAATACGTTATTTAACATAATAATAATAATAATAATAATAATAATAATAATAATAATAATAATAATAATAATAATAATAATAAAAAATTGAGAAATATCAACCATTAAAGGAGCAAATCGGAAATCTGTGGAATATGAAGAAGGTGACAGTCATCCCTGTTGTGATTGGGGCATTAGGGTGTATATCATATTGTTTTGAAGAGCACATGGAAAAGATCGGAATTGATGTAAAGTTACAGGTGATACAAAAGACAGCACTGCTAGGGACAGCCAGGATTTTGAGACAGACATTGTCTATGTAAACTTGAGATGACAGAATTGGACCTTTGTCAGCTTGTTGCTGACTGCTCCCTCCTATATTATCCGGACCAATTAACATCTAGGTGTCTGTGAATCACTTAATTAGCCATAATAATAATAATAATAATAATACAATAATACGTTCCAAAATCCATAATACTTTATTTTCTTCGCTTGCAAACAATAGCTCCGCAATGTCCTCAGGGTAGTATAGTAGGGCTCCGTGAACCAATCAATTAACAGATTTTCTAACCAGCCGTGATTGGCTGGTTCTTCTTTGTTGATTATGCTTTGTAAAGCTTGTCTTTATACTCTTGCTACAAAGTTTGCACGCTTTAAGTGTTTTTCGAAGCTGCTTTTACATGGGGGCAGCAGTGACCGACCAGTTACTTTGTTTTCCTTTTGAAAAATCCACCAGAATATAGCATATCTTGCTTCATTCACTGACAGCAATCGTTTCTCTCCATACAGTGTGCAAACAAACCTTTCTAAGCCGAGTAACAAATTACCACTTGCACAATTTTTCTTGCCAAGCTCTGAGAATATTTTTTGGAATTCTTCGTCGCCTCGAAAAAGCGCTTCCAAAATGCAGGCTTTCCTTTCGCAAGAAGAATGAGATGTAGAAATTTCCTGAAAATGCATGCAGGCCAAGGAGCGCTTGCTTCCGCAATAAAGATAGCGCAAAAGCATTTAGATCCAGTAGTCTCCTGTATTTTCCTCTTCCGTACTACATAAAGAAATGCAAGTTTTTAGCCTCGTTGGCTAAAAGGATAACAAGAATATCAACATCTCCAGAGCGCACAATGCAAACTGTCTCCTGTCCATTATTCATCCGTAGGACATGGTGAAGTAGGTAGCAGATTTTGGTACCTGCTTTCCAATGGTTTGTGTTTGACTTTCTCACCTGCGTTACCCCTTTGCTCTCAATCGTAACGCAAGAATTTTTCTTGCAAAGTATATTACTTCATCGTTGAGTTGAGACTACTTATTGTGGCGCTAGAAATTCTCCGACGGAGGAGCTTGACCTTTCGATAGGGGGTCTATAGAATTGGAGAGAAAGCATGGAATCCCAATTGCAAAAAGACGCACAATCATTAAGATTATGACAGGACATGAATATATCAGACAAGAAAGAACAGCTACTCAGAGCGTGATTAATATTCTTTTGTGGGGAACTCGCCTTTATAACAAAACATCCCTAAAAAGACAAAAGGCATATATTAAGAAGTTCTTTGTAGGTCTTTTTCCGTGATTTTTCTATATTCACAACGCTGTAAACTTTTCTGAGTAATAAAAAAAGACATCATTTATTCATTAAACAGAATAGGAACCATGACACGAAAGTTAGTACCTGAGACGGCACATTGGTTGCCGCAAAAGGTGGGGGACTACAACTACAACTTACAATTTAGCTCTACTGAATAAATCGACCATTGAACCTAACTACACGACCAAACGGTGACTTCGAGCCAACAAGGAACAAAGCCTCTCTCGCTACTCGTTGCAGCTAGAAGCCGCAACCGCATCATAGAAGCCGTAAACCGTTGCGAATTTACACCGAAATACGCAAGACGCATCTTTTGCTGAAGCCGCAATCCGTAGAAAAATCATACCCAAATCCGAAGGCCGCGCGTAAAAATTAGGTCCAGGCCGCAAAGCCGCAAACCTATAATAGGCCCCCCCTCTTATTCTTAGAACAAAAATCGGCGGGTGGAACGCTAATTGTTATGTGTTATGTCTACCAAAAGCTTTAAATTTTTGACTGTCCTCAAATTTTCCACCCCCCCCCCCAGTATTTACGGGCATAGAGCCACGAGAAATTCAGTCCTTAAAACAAGCAATTTCCCATACTGAACCCTATTGAAGCTCGCTTTTTGCCACTATTTGAAATGGCGGAAGTAAACAAATTTGCCTCACTCGAGACCTTGATTTTAACTACGCATGCTTAGATTTGGGCGCTACGCCCGCGCGCACCGGAAATCGGCCTTTAGACATCAAGCGCCTTCGGCGCTTCTGTATCATTTGATTCGAGCACGGCCTCGAGTCGACTTCAGGCTTTGGGAAGTTTAGTTTAGGGAACTTTGGTCTTCCCATAGAATAAATGGTAAGGGAAGTGGAGGTCGATTGCGAAGAACATGGAAATAAGTCCCGAAGCGATGGAGGGAGTAAAGTTATTGGGCGACTCTAGCTCAGTGCCAGATGCCATATTTGGTTCAGTTACTGAAAATGCGTTTAAATTTGCCGCTGGTCGTAACTGCGAGAAAAATACAGAAGGTATGTAATGTAAAACATTGAACTATTATATATATTCGAGTGATAGTGACCAAGCCAATTAAATTAAAGATTAAAATGTATAGCGAAAAGTGCTCAAAAGACATCTTATGTAGGGAAAATGAGAAAAGGTACGCGATTAAAAAGTATGGTTTGTAAGTCCCAATAGTGTTGCTGGGGGCACCTAGTCTGCAGATTGTGGCATGTGCACACACACACACACACACACACACACTATTTTTTCAGAGGCTTGTCTAATGTACACAAAAACATAGGGCTGCACACACATTTTTCTGGGTACTGGAAAATTTTTAAGGACCTCCCTTTTTGAAACATTGCTTTCCTTTCTTGGTCTGAACAACATTTTCTTTGAAATTTTGAAATGCTGATGAATTGGGATTTTAGTATTCATAAAACAACTCAAACTTGTGTTGGTCAGTATCAGAACCATCTGATTGTCACAAGTTATTGTCTGTAACTAAATCAGAGAACCTGTACCAGTTTTGCTATGTGCGTTTTGTGAGCATATTGAGTTTCTCTAGATGATCTTCTCCTCCTGATTTGAAAAGCTCTGGCATGCAAATACATTAAATTAAATATGAGGCACAGCTTTTCAGGGTTGCTCAATGAAATCTGAAAGCTTTTTGGAGTTAGAAGAAGGGGGGTCTGGGGGCACTCCCCAGGAAAATTGTTAAGGGCCACACCCTATAGATTACTGCATAATGGCTCTGGAGTCATCTCATATCTCAGTATTTTGATGGATGGTAAGGGATGGTATTGCCTGTTATGAGCAAGAGGCAAAAAAGGTCTGAATCAAAAAAGTAAGATTATTTGGGAAACTACAGTATCTGATTTGTGCCCAAGCATGATTATAAAGTCAAGAATTTACTCTGTAGAGACCATTCTGTGGACTGAATTACACTCTTTTTTTATAAGAACCAGTAAATTTAAGTTCAGGCTGACTGTTCTTAATTTTTTCGAAAATCTGAGGCTGGATTGTTTTTAATTTGTTCCTAAATTAAGAGGGTGTAAGCAGTGCAATTGCTATCTTTTTCACTTTAAGGAGGTGTTCAGGCCTCATTTGCCAACAAAGTGAGTGAGACAGCTTTAATTTGCTGACAAATTTGAATATTCACCGAAAAAGCACCCACACATTGCTAAAAATCCTCGATTTTGAGAAAAAACGTTGTTCAAAATTGCATTTTGCAGAAGCTCAGCCTTAGCTTGTTCTTAATTTGTTCTTAACTTTTGACCAGTTTTGAGGCTCGTGTTCTTATAAAATTGTTCTTATAAAAAAAAGTCTGTATGTTGAAACCAACTGAATGAGTGAACTTTTAGAGGGTTTCATTTCAATCTCACACTCCAACTTACAAGTTTTACTAACTACAAGGGAGGGAGGCAGGGGCAGACACTTGATCAAATATTGGGGGGCAAGCCTATTGTTTTAATACGATGACATCACATTTCCCATTGTTTTAAAACAAAAAACCATTGCCCTCTGATATATTGGGGGCAGTTGCCTCCCCCCTTGCCCGACCCAAGTGTCCGCCACTGGAGGGAGGTCAAAATAATTGGAAATTTAATCATACACAAATTATTGCTGTGCACACATTATGAGACAAATTGACAAATACTTTGCCCATTAGAAGCTTGCCGCACACATTGTATCAAAACTGAACAGTTTGCACACATTGCACACTTTGTCAGTACTCTTGCACACATGCACACATTTATATTATATACACCATCTTTTCCCGGTGTTTTCCAATTCAGAATTTTTTGACACTGTTTCTTTACATTCTCAATCTCAATTCTCACTCTTTTTGAAGATGTTTAACTGCTGGTTTCGCCTTCAGATAGTTTAACCATCTCACCATTGTATTATCTTTCTTTTCAACACTCCAAATATCACCCCAAACCTTGTACACTCTATGGCATCTGGGACATAACTTGAAATATTTCTGCCTCCATTCAGTTCTGTGTACATCTTCTTTTGATCAACAATAAACAGCCTATTTTGTCTGAATTGAATGATTCTTTGTTAAAATCCCTTGACTTTTGCGCCCTTTCCTATCATTCTCTGCTTTAGTTTTTCAACCATAGTTTTAAGTCCTTCTCTTCAACTCTTCCCTTCATTTTGCTTCCAAATCTTTAATTTTCCTTTTCTTTTATGTGCCAAGTTCACCTCTCTTTTCCCTTTCCAACAAATTTACCTGCTTAAATTTTTAAAAGCAAACATTTGAGTATACTGAAGCTTTTTGTCAAACACTCTTTGCGTCAGAACAAAGACCAAAAACTCTACTAGGAAATATATATATACCCAGTTGTGGATTGAAATAGGCCAATCAGAAACGCGAACACATGACTGTTGAGATTGCCCAATCAGTGCCGCTTGCCTATTTAGAATGTTACCAATGGAGTCCTAAGGTGAAAACGAACTCCTTCTGACTACACAAAAGCGTTTGTTCATGTTTATGTAGATAGATGGGATTTCCCAAAACTGCTAGATGGAACGACGACGGTAAAATGCTGCTAGAAAGCTAGATTCTTGGTAAAATGAAAAGATTCTTACATTCACCACATTTGTCCGTATGATTTACTTCAGATTTGAGAATTTCTTTGAGCAGCTAAAAGTGCCTATTCCTTCCAAACCTAAATTCCCTCCCAACATAACGCAGTCACTTATTCTTATTCTGTGACTGGGTCACATGGAATGCCGACAATGGTCGAACACTCTACGATAATTTCATGATATTTAGAGCTCAATTGCGTCAAAACAGACAATAATAATTAACCGAAAACTTGAAGTTCAGATTACATGCATCGTTATCTACATTATATCAGAAAATAGTTTTGCGTGTCAGTTCACCTTTAACAATTTATCAAAGAAAAAGGTAGGCATAGCCGGAATTTTGTTTTCTTGTTCCAAGGAAACCTTTATATTCTGTCAGATTTCATGGCCAAAGATCCTAAACGTAAAGAAAATATATTTCTAAACCTAAGTTACAAAGACAGATTTCTTAACTGCAAAAGATTTCCCGTAGTTCCTGGTATTGACGCTGGTTTCATGAAGCAATGCACTTATGGAATCTTGACAGCAATTTATGAAGGAGCAAAGTCAGCTGGTGATGTGTCAATGATAAGGTATGTAGAACATTGTTGTTTCGATGGTCTTGCACTTGCAAATAATGTAAGTTGCATAACGTTGTCTGGGATTTGCAGACTTCTGATTATCTTTAGATTTAAAGACTCATTGCTAACTATGAGCCATTGCACCACGCAAGCATCCCATGATGCATTTTTAGACAGTCTGAAATCAATTTTGGTTAATCTGTAGAAGTTTACTGCCATTGTTTGGATCAATGCCACGCTGGCAAAGGCCCATTGTCAGCAACGAGTCTTTGATTCCAAATTAACAGAAGATTAATTTGGCCTAGCATAAAACGTTATAAAGTCCAAGGCCTCTCAAATGACGATCTTGCGCAAATTGTAATCAGGGCATGAAAATCTGCACAACTACAAAGTTTGATATGCTGAATGAGATGGGGTCGGGACCCAGTCTAAGAATTGCCCCCAAATACTATTTTAGAATGCTTAATTGCTTCCAGACTCCTAAAATGATTATCTCTCTAAATTTGTTGTAAACTAAATTAATGACATGAAAATTAGTACAAATGCTAATCATAACACGGTAATATAATTAAGATTCACACCCATCGTCAAAATGCCCCCAAATGCTATTTTTAGACCATGTAATCGTTCCCAGACCTTTAGCACGGTTATCTTTACAACTCCGCTAAAGATAAAATCAATAGCAAGCAACTTGATTTAAATACTAAATTATAACACACTAAAAGGATTTGGATCAAGATGCCTCTTCAAAATTCCCCTTTAATGCTATTTTTAGAATGGGAACAAGTACATGACCTAAAAATAGTATTTGGGGGTATTTTGACGATGGTTGTAAATCTTAATCACACTACCTTGTTACGATTAGGATTTATACCAGTTTTCATGACATTGATTTCATTTTCAACAAAGTTAAAAAGATAATCATTTCAAGGGTCTGAGAACAATGAATCATTCTAAAAGTAGCTCTTAAGGGCATTTCTCAGACTGGGTCCCGATCTCATCTTTTTCAGTATGTCAAATTGTATGTCAAATTTTCATGCTTTTATCACGATTTGCGCATTCATTCTGCTTATCTTCTACACTATAAGCAATGCCTACTTTGCAGTGCTTTGCTTGAAACATATGCAGTGACAAATCAGTTGTGTATAGTGATAAATAGTTAAAAATTGCAGTGATAAAACTTTTGTAGTCATGTCGATTTTTATGCATTTTTTCCTTTCTTCAAAAATTATGGACAATGATTAAGAAATTTTATTGCCTAAGTAAACCTGATAGAAAAATTAAGGGCGTGGCAAAGAAAAATTTACCAACTTTCCGCCCTCTTTTTTCATCAATGTGCAGTGACAAATTTTCTTCAAATTAAGTATGGCTAGCATTGCTTAGCATTGATTGTATGTTTCAGTGTGTTGCAATAAAAAAAGTTCTTTTTTTTCAAGTATGCCCTAGCTATTTCAATGATCCTCTTTTGTTTTTTTAAGTATTTCATAAAGGGTCTCTTAGAACCCATAAACACTTTTCTTCTGAGTTTTGTCTCATATAGGACTAGTGAAATTTTTCAAGCTATAACCGTTTGATTTCTAAGACCTTCTTCATCCACAAATTTTTCGTCAAGAAACCATTATTGCAATGACTAAAAACTTTATAGGAAGATTTCCAGAAGAAGACTCAAGGCTTGATAACAAAATATAGATTGTCAGAGTATGTGAATAAAAAACTTATTTTGATAGGGCAGCTTTGGAAGATTACAAATGGATCCCAGAGAGGATTACCTTCTTTTTGCAAAATCTCAAGGTTTGTCTCATGTTCATGAAATGTCTTGAATATTCTTTTTGCTGGCATACGGGTTTGAAATCATGAAGCCTATTTAGCTGATGAACTGGCTTTCAACTTTATCTTGTTTTTTTATATTATTTATTTTTTATACATTGTATTAGTTAATTTAATTGAAAAATTCAATCTTTTCAAAAGTTATATTCACAATTTGCACTAAGTTATGAAATGCAAACACTGGTAAGAGCTAGTTGCTAGTAACAGCTAGCCCCGCCAAACTCTTTCGAAATTATACTTTACGTTAGACCACACCATAAAACCAGCGACTTAGTTCAAAATATTACTTTAAACGTTACAATGAAAAAACGGTAGTTGGTTCAATATTCGGCTGTATTAGCGATTACAGGGGCAAGGAAAGAAACATCCATAGAGAAACTCAACAATGAATTGGGATGTGAATCGCTTAGCCTACGTCGATGAGACAGGCGTCTGGTTCTTTTTTATAAATCCAATAACCGGGCACCAAATTAAACAAAAATGCCAATTCTACAAATCCCCGAACCATCCTAATCTTTTCACAATTCTGTGCAAGAATAGCAAGTTGCAAGGCAAGTATTGATCACCACTGCCTATCCGAGTGGAACAAACTCGCCTCAGAATTTAGACTATTGATTACAATAACTGCTTTAAAATATCGAGGGGCATTTCACTACCTGAAATATTGTACAAGATTTTGGGATTTCTAAAATCCCCGAAATCATGATTGGGGTTTTCGGATTTTTGAACAGATTTAACAGGGATTTCTGGATTTCTTGGGAATTTCTAAAGATATCCAGGGATTTTTCTTGAACGTTAAACATTCAAAGGCTAGAGTTGCACTTTACCGGATTGCTATCGAAGCGGAGCAGAGCGGAGTAACTTTAACTCCGAGGTGATATTTGGGGTAGCAGTTACACTGTGACCTGTGACGCTCCGCTTGCTCGTACGCCTGCATTCCTCTGCATTTCTGGTAAACAATGCAGTGTGCTTTTGTATACCCATGCGTAAACTGCACCAGATTAATTTATTTGATGATCTTTTCGAAGCTTTGTGCTGTTGTAAATTCGTTTTCAATAACTACTGCATAAAATGACGAAAACAACCCTAAAAAATGAGAGATAAGTGATGGGGTTCGTTGGGCAGACAGCGAGATTGCGTTGCTATCTGATGTGTCTAAGTATGAGTTTAGTCCATGGGCAACTTCAATGAAATTTGAGAAGAGATTAATCCAAATACGAAAATGTTGGGACGATTTTCCATGGGCATTATCCAACAGCAGCAAAATCCTAGAAATTTCCACTGTTCACTAATGATCGAATTGCTTCAAGCAGAAAAGCAATCCGCTACGGAGTGACTCCGGAGTGATTTTCGCATCACCTCCAAAGCGGAGTGATTTTCATTCCGTTAATCAGAGCGTTGTGTACCGGATTGGTGTGACGTAGTGTAACTGAAGCCCCTATCCGATATGAAAGTTACTCCTCTCCGAAAGCAATCCGGTATACCATTAACAACGTGTAAATGTATCGTAAACTTCTGGGTTATCTTTTTAATTTAATGAAATAGCAGTCGAGATGACTCATTACCTTGTATCAGTAAAACCACAACGTTTGGAAAAGTTTTCAAGTGTGATGTCATGAAGATAAATTTTTTTAGAATTCTTGAATTCTAACTTCATAACCTAGAATGCACATTACCCCTGTGAATTTAAATCCCCCCTTTCCCCCGAAATCAAAGTTGGATTTGTAGCTCTATCACTTTTGGTTCAAAATCATTCATTCAACATTGAATCAGATGAGGGGAAAGCTGTTTTTTCAACGGAAAACGAAAACATTTTTTCATTTTCATTTTCAAACTTAATCATTTTTTCTAAATTCTCAACTATTGGTCCAGGATTGTAGCCTGTGCTCGTGGCCATCTCCCAGCAACACATTCGCAACACATTTACCTGATTTTTCATGTTTTGAGGTATTTCATGATGATCTTTCATGTTATTTTACCCAAATTAAAAAAATTATTAGAAATAGACTATTGTGACGACATTAATCCCCTTTCTCTTTTAAGAGGCTCAATAGAGCTTTTACGGTATGTGCAATCTGTTCCTTCCTCAACATCTATCACTAGAGTTTTAGCATGACATCCCTCTCCCTATTTTTCCCAATAAGCAATAGTCAGTTTTTTAGCAGTTTAGTATTTTGCTAAATTTGGACATTTGTTAAATCTATAAATTTGGACATTTACTAAATCTATTTAGAACATTTGTTTGCAAAATATTTTGTCCGGTAGCCGCAAAATTGTGAAACCGCAATAAGCCTCCTTGAAATGGATGCATATATTTGGGCAATCTATTCTTGTGAAAATTCATATTAGGTCTGAAGAATTCTTACAATTACCACATTTCCTCTAAAGAACATCGCGGCGTTTATTACAAACTCCAAATTTGGATGCGGCGCTCAATGCAAAATGAAAAATGACAAGAAAAATGCGATGAAAAAGATAAAAAGAATGTCAAGTCAAGTCAAGGAATGTCAATATCCCTGTCTCAGTTAGAGTCCTCGTTTCTATGAGATAAAAACTTTCAGGGCTTCAATTAGATTTCGTACCAACAAACGATTTCTTACTTCTTGTTTGGTGTGTTTTCTAATGAACGCTGCTTTTCAAAATGCGGCGTTCAATAGAAGGCAACGTTTATCAGAGGGCCGCGTTCATTAGAGGAAATACAGTAATGATTATCCAGTTTTTCGACGACCATTTGGATCGTGATTTGTAACGTTCTTCATTTGAAATCAAACCTTTTAGTAATGTTAAAAACTTGACTTGATTCTGACTACGTCAAAACGTTAATTCTTTTTGTTTGGAAATAAATGTTTGTGAAAATCGTTTCCGTTTAATCAGGTAACCTTTACTTTTGTATTTGGGCAAAACACTCATTATATCTCCGAAATCTTTTTTCGATTTTCTGCAGCTGTTGTGTGGCTGCATCTATCTAACTTGGTAAACACATTTTTAAATAGCACTTTCCCGTGAATATTTTGTAGCGACTGGCCTCACATATTACAAATTTTCAAAAATTTTCAAAAAATGCCGCCATTTTGAACAAAGTGATGCAATCCTTTGGATTCCCTAGTGTATTTGCAATCAAAGCCTGTTCCAAAAAGTAGCTTGGTTAACAGAAACATGCAAAACTCTCCAGGGTATTTAGCCTGGCATATATTCTCCCTCCCTGATTGCTCGCCTAGCATCATTTTTGGAAAGGACTTTGAGTTAATTGTGAATGGCCACAGGCCTGTTATGAAATTTCATGCACCTCTGTGGTAATGTTGTGCTGTAATTTTGTAGTAATGTGCAATCTTTATCTTTTTTTCGAAAATTCAAAAATATTTTCTCAAGCATTTTCTATTTTTCAGACTGCTGTTACAGTTTTGCAGTAGTAATTAAAGCACTTCATGTCATTAGCAAGACTAATGACAAGAAGCGTTTAGCGTTCACTTGTAGGATGACCATTTCATTAATTTTATAGGAATATAAAGATGAAATTCGAATACAAATTTCAAGGTAAGGGAAACATATGAAATTTAAGCTGGTATTGCTTACAAAATTCTTATGCTATTTGTGACATTTGCTGTTAGTAGTCGTATTAGCATTTCGAATAAGCATTTAGGACAAGTAGTTGTAGAGTCTTCGCTTGAAACATAGAGTGGTCGAACCCGCGTTTATGGTAAATCAGGCACCGCCCTCCCCACGTTTTTGCAATGATAGGTTAGAAATTTTTTTAGAATGTTTAAAGCAACTTTGGATAGTTTACTCCTATACAGTAGCAGTTCTCCTTGACTTGGAACCTTTTTTGTTCATTTTCTAGGTGTTTTTCAATGATATGATGTTTTTCTAAATTGCTCAGCTTTGTGTTCCATTTTCCTTAAGCTAATTTATCTATTTTTTGGTTATTGATATCTTTTCTGAACCAGACTGTTTTTAAGAAATCAATAGAAATAAGCAAGCATTTTTTAAAAGGGCGTTTTCCAGCGTTTTCACCTACCCTAGTTTTAGACTGGAGCGCGGTCCCCGGTTTCATAGGCAATGCAGCTGATCTTGTTAAAAAGGGCGATTGACGACCAGAAAAACATGGTTCAAATTAAAACTATGTTCTAATTGTGTTGGAGAACGTATTCATTTGTTGAAATCGAGGACTTTCCAGATAATTCGCGCTGTCTCAAGAAGACTTGCTTTCTGTCGAGCATTTACTCCCAGGTGAAGGTCTAGCTTGTCAAGGTTTTTCCCATATTACTTGTCACAGTTCCGAAAGCCCCATATGATGATTGGTAGGATCTTGACTTTGCCAACTTCTTTTCTCCAAAATTCCAGAATTTCACATTTCAGGTCATTGTGGTATTCTAGCTTTCCTTGTTCTTTTTTCTTGATTCTAGGTGTCAAACGGGCATGCAACATCAATTACAAGGCACACTCTCTGTTTCTTATCTAGGGTTACAATATCTGACTTGTTATGCTCTATTCTCTTTTCAGCTTGTATTGAAAAGTCCCACAACAGCAACTGCATCATTTTCAAATACTTTCATCTTTGTTTCCACAAAATGCTCCCATTATTAATCCTTGCATGTAAAAGCAAACTTCTTCCAACAATTGCAATGAATCATTGCGGCAATTTTATCACGTCCTCATTTCTTGTGAACCAACCGAAGTTGATCGTCCTTTGATGAGCTTCAATCTGGAATTCTTCTTGAACTTGTGCTGGAGGTACGAAGCCTTTGGTTGCTACACACCACTGCACCCTTTCCCAGGACAACTGTAGCACAGGTGCAAGGGCTGGTCGCAGAACTTGCTAGCGCTATTTTATAGGTCTTGTTTCAGATATTTAAACCAAATGCTGTTCTAATATAAATATTTTGCACGCTGAAGTCATAACAATTTCATTACAATTGACAGTCTTGTTTTCAATGTTTTAGGATTGGCACCTCGTATCCACACATAATAGATATCGATTGGAGGTTAGACTATTTCATTAAGGTACCGGTTTTTATTCTTTTGTATAATTGGTATTAACATTATAGAAAACTAATCATCATGAATCCTGGATTCTGAAATTATTTGAGATTCCATTCAATTCGCATTCGATTCGATTCGCGCTGTCTCTGAACACATTGTTGTACGCGATTTTTGATTAAGAACAGTTTTATTATGTTTCACTGCCTATTTATAAATTTTATTTTACTATTTATATATTCATCGATTCTCTTTAACCAGTAAATTTTTTGTCCTGCATACATATCACTGCCCCTCTTCGACCTACATTTTTCAAAGAAATTTTTCGTACTCTTTTACCGGAAACACATTTCAAGACATGAACATGCTTTAATCGCTAATACTGATGAAACGAAAAATGTGTGTTTGAGAATGTGCCAATCAAATGCATTGAAATACCCGAACGTTGAACATTCTTAACTTTTAAACCGGAGACGCCGGGATGCTGAGGGTTGGAAAATGTATGGTCATAATTAGGCTAAACATGCTAATAAACTAGGTACTTGTCCCACTTCAGTGCCTTTCACCACAGCAACTCAGGAAAAATATTTCGCTTTTTTGGACCTGTCTTAAAAACGATAGGATATGAAAACGATACATTAGCATTGGAATCATGGTAACCTATTAACACTGCTCATTACAGGATTGTTAATTTTTTCCAGAGCAACCAAATGGAGAAAATCAACGAGCCACAGTATTTATTATCGCTGAAGACACAAGTATGACCGCCAAACGTTTCTTTATACAGCCACTTGAATTTTGAATTTGATAACTATTAGAGTTTGAATATTGTGAGAATGATAAGTTTGTTTCTCTTCGTAACTTCCACTTGTTCCTTTAAGGTTTTCGTTTTTCTACTCTTCATATGATTAATAGCCCATAACCGTAAGATATTGACGTCATTTGTAAGAATTTCCTGTATGGCCTTGTTAACATTGTAGCCTCTAAGTTGTTTGGCAGTTACATCATGTTATTGCTAATTTATACATTGAAAGCGATAAATTTTAAGCAGTGTTTGACTAACCGTTGTCGATAAATAGAATTTATAGTCATGAATGTTAAGATAAATGGTTTCGAGCATAACTCCTGAACGTCTTATCGTAATGTTCATGGTTATACAATCTATTTACTCGTCCCCGTTTTTATTCAAGAATTTCCGCCATACATAGAACACAAATATATTTTTTGAATGAGTTGGCCTTAACAATGAACTGTCATTGTAGGACAATGACGTGACTAGTGTCGATGTAGTAAACATTTCATGTTCAGTGGACGAGCTTCAGGTAAGTTTGTCTTCTGTTTTCATGCAATACTCGCATAACGTTTCTGCATTACCTGTCATCAAGTCCCTTATTTGTTTTTGTTTTACCTTACGACATAAAGTTACCTATATTTTTTTAAATATTGTATTGTAAGTTTTGACACTAGAACTAGCCAACTGATCTCTAGGAAAATCAAATATGAAAGACAGTTCGACTAATGCCGCCTGCGTTTACACGATGCCGGATAACTTTTGATCCGGATAAAAAGTTAAACAGATAGATCGCATTTACACGATGATCTACAAGTTTTGATACGGATAGACTATGGATAGACATCCTGTTCACACGAGTACAGATAAACCAGATTTTTCTTAACGAACGGCGTCAGTTCAAACTCTACTTGCACATTCGCAAATTTTCAATCCATTCTTCTGGTACTGAATTATCATTGATAGAATTTTGCCACCAAGTGCATGTTCTGTCAGAACTTTGCCGAAATTTACCAACACTTTTTGTTCTAGATGCCATTTTAAGAATTGATCTGGAACCTTGCAGGGCTTTCATCAACAACAGATAATAACATGCTACAGGCGAAATGGGCTACTTTTTGTGAAAAGCGAAGCTTTGTGCTTAAATTTTAGCTTCAGTAACAAAACTTATCCGGATAGCCCGTTTTCATGATGCCGGATAACTTCGCTTATCCATTATCAATTCTGCTTATTTTTTGGCAATGTCAAACTCTATTATCAATTTTGCTTTTTGGCAATATCACACCACAAAATAATCAATATTTCATCTGCATTTTCAAAAGCACATCTGCTTTATCAATATCCCAACTCCATCATCAATTTTGCTTATTTTTTTGGGAATTTCGTACCTATATTATCAATATCGCAACTGCATTTTCAATACACATCTACAATATCAATATCCCAACTCCATCATCAATTTTGCTTATTTTTTAGCAATATCATATTTATATTATCGATATTGAATCTGCATTTCAAAAATCTTATCTGCATTATCAATATCCCAACTCCATTATCAATTATGCTTATTTTTTAGCCACATCATACCTATATTATCGATATCGTAACTGCATTTTTAAAAGCAAATCTCCATCATCTAAATCACTTCTTTATCATCAATACCGCATTTTGCATTTCCAATGCTACATCTGCATTTTCAAAAAGGGATCTGCATTTTCAATATTAATTCTACATTATTAATTTTACCAATATTGCAACATGATCGCATCTGCATTTGCAGTTTCACATCAAAATTACCTAAATCGCATCTACATTTTTAATATTTCTCTATATTATCAAAATCACATCTGCAAACACAATTATAAAAGAAAACACATTTGATCTACACTTTTTATTTCCCCTCGTTTTAGAGCACTTTCATTAGAAAGAATGATTTTCATACTGGCCATTTCCTTCTTCACTTTGCACTCAAATTTTTTTCCTCTTTCGCAATTTATTCCTAAAATCGTTTTACCACTTCTAAGAAGAAACTCCAAGCATGTGCATTCGAAACAGCAAATATCTTTTTCATAGAATTAAATTGATACCTAAAATGCCCTGCTCTTTCAAAGAAGAGAACTGACTAATGACAAACGGTACCAAATCCTGGCGATTAGATAAAAGCCGACGACTTTCCGCTACAACTCAGAATAATTTAATGCAAAACATCAGATCTGTGCGTAAGACAGAGAACCTCCGTCAACTGTTTGTTTCCAACATGTTGTGTGACAGAACTATGAGAAAATCTAAACAAAACCTGATACCAACCCTAACGTCACGGGCATGACACAATGGTCTGTTAACTCAGCCATATATAACCAAAATTGGGCATTTCCTTAACAATTTGAGATGTGTCGATATCTTTTATGTGTGGCAGAACATAAATAGAATTAGGTTTTATCAGCGTATCAACCTGTGCTTTTATTTTTGGCATTAAAAATTGTTTGTATTTTCCAAATTGAAGCTATGGAGCTTATATTTGCGGTTTTGCGAATTATTGACAAGCTTCAATGAAAATTTCTTGCAAAATCGCATAAATTAAGGCAATATTCCATGAGAACCACCAGAAAAAGATCTCGTCTTTAAACGATAAGTTTTTATAGAATGCAGTAACTTACTACCTACGTATTAGTCATTTACATGGATGTACGAAATTTGCTTAACTGTCCATGAGTACTTTTCTAATATAGTACTTAATTGTCTTTTAAGGACTTGGTAGGGAAATTAAAAGATGCTGCCAAGGTACTGGAAAAAGCAACTCAAGGATAGGACTGGTTTCAAATCAGTAATGTATGATTTTTATCTTTTAAACAAATGTGATTTAAGGAGTGGCATTTTTGAACCATCTAGATGGAAAATTTAATCAGTGATGATGGATAAAACTTGAAAATAAATCAGTGATGATGGATAAAGCAATGAGAAACGTGACTAGTTACTGCCATGTACAAATATTGGTTTAAATTACGACCAGGTAGTTTTTCTCATTAGCTGTAAATACTATAGGATAACTATTCCTTAACCAAAATTTGTAGTGAAATAATTGACGGCTCCCTAAATGTCTTCTTCGCCTATTTCTGGTGCTAAATCTATTGATCGTTGAAAATTTTCTTCGCTTTCTTGATCCTCGTCTAGAATAGGAACTATTAGGTTGTCTTTTGACATCAAATCATACTTGGTGACGAACCTCGTGAAACGACGGCATAGATGGGTCTCATTCTAGAAGGGACAAATATAGTAAAAAGCAAGGAATAATCTTTTACCGTTTCATGTACCTAAGGTTTGTGATGGTATGAACCATAGATAGCCATAACAGTATGATGCAGTTTGAGATATTCGACAATGGCATGAAACGTATTATTAGAAATCCAGTTTTCCAAATTTTATCTAGATGCTAGCATTCTATCGTTTTATCAAACAAAAGTAGCGAAAAAGAATATAGCAGAAAAGTCTAAAACAAACCAAATACCTCGAATTCATCAAATAATCTTCTATGATGAAAAAATGCATGAGAGAATATCCTGTAGACGCGACGACATACTGAGCCAAGTTTATTGACAGAAGAATCCTTGATGCTCACTCTAAAAAACCAAACATTTTAATCTTATTTAAGCTGCATTTAGAACCTGCAAACAAAGGCAACTTGACAAATAAAAGAAAAAGCGGAATATAATAATAAAATACAATTAAAATATAAAAACAACGTTGTCATGAATACGCTAAAGCAAATTAAAAAGTAGATATGAGATAGGAATTGTAGTAATTTTATTGGAAACAGTAATACTTTAAATAATGAAAAACCATCGTTCCAGAAAGTGTTTTCACATTGAGAGCTCGTTGCAGTTAAAATTAGTTGCAAACGATCGTAATTACTCCGCTACCTGCTTGGAAAATATTTACTGCTATTCAACAAGGAAGCTGCACCGTCCAAAGTATGGCGCGTATAATCAACCGCAGGACACTGTGAAAAAAATGAGACCAACTTTAAAGCATTGCAGGCGCGAAGTGTCTCTAGGAAACAAAAGTTCAAAGAAAAGGGGAATAAATAGATGATATGCAATCAAACAGTGCAAAGTATAAGATCCTTGCAATCTTTTGTGTCCAAAATGGCACGTGCTGTTACGTTGCTGAATTATCAGTTTTTTTCTTAAATTTTATCAAGTTGATCTGGGCCAAATACATAATGACCATGCCTCACTGCTGCTAAGGAAATGCTCACATGAACTTAAGCAAGATGACTTGTAAACAATATGACTTTCGAAATTCAAACAACTTTTGAGAAGCCATTAGATGTCAGTTTACAGTTCAAAACCAATCAAAGACAACTTAAAAAACATTGGCAATATTTCAAGTTTAAATTTTGAAAAAAAATTGATTTTTAGAATATCAGAAATGCAAATTTTTATTGGCCAGTCTCGACGCTTTTAAATCTTTGATAAATTTAATCAACAACTTTGAAGCAGGTTATTTCATAAAATTGATATGAAAAATACACAAATTATATAAAAAAATTGGCTAGATCACATTGAGGTGTCTGTGATCACGGGTGATCATTATTGGCCTTAAATTTTGCAGAAAGTGACACTTTACGGCCGTTTTTCTATTAGGACTCTTTCCATGCCAGTGACACACTTACGTGTCTCTGTTTGTGACTGTTTATCGCAGAAATGGTACTTTCGTTCAACGAGGAGATGCAATGTTTTGAGCAATTTACGGTATTTTTTTGGCCAATGCTACGAATTACTCTTCAAAATAAGGCCCGTTGCAGTGCAAAAAACGTGCGACCAAGATTTTTAAAAAATTCTTTAATATCAGACAGGGAAATGAAGAGTTTGGGGCACCCAAGCAGAAAATGAGTATCTCCGAGTTCGCCTTAATGAAATCTTACAGGTTTGTACTGAGAAAAACATATTTTATTGCAATTATTTTCAAGGTACTTCTATCATCATAGCTCGTTTTTCATGTTTTCGCAGTGGTCGATATAGCTTGAAAATAAGAAAATATCAAGCGTATTCTCTTATTTTACAATTTCTTTTCTATTCCTTGATAAATTTTCAATTAATCTTAAAACATTTATTTAGCTTGCTATAGCTATTTCAATTTCGGCCAGCTAAAAAAATTTGGCGGCAGTGCTGCCATTTTTTGGCGAGTGTATGCAATACTTTTCGAGCGTAAGTATACTCGTTGTAAGGTTCTATGTGTGGTTATTCATAAATACCTTCGAATGATTTCTGAATTTATTTTCGATCAGGGGCCGAGGTATCACAGGACATTGATCACATTGGATTATCCAATAATCGAGTCCCATTATGGGTCGTACTAAGTAACCCAAAGAGTTAAAATTGATCTTACTTCTTTAGGATTTTTGTGAGCAGCACACAAAAAGATCCACTGTTCTGTAGCAGTCATTTGGGTGCAAGTATCTGGCTTGCATTCCTCCTATTGGAGAATTTAAAGTAGAGTTAGCAACGGTGAGCAAAGGCAAACAAAACTGCCTATTCAAAATTCATCTGCATATATTTTGTGAATTTCCTGTCTAATAGCATTTCGAAAACATTCAAAAGGCATCTATATTTAATTTGCTACAATATGGTTTAACTACTGATGTGAGAAAAACAGCTTATTTCATAAAGAAAACTTATTCAAAAATGTATCTGGCTTGCTACTCTTGGTTACTAGCGACCTGCGGTTGTTTATTACATAAGGAGTGGAAATATTTTTACTGTCCTGTTGCTAAATTTTCTGCCTTGTTATTTGCTCAGATCACAATACCCTAAAATTATTCTTTGTGAATCTGCGCCTTTAGGCAATTTGCAAAAGTCACACAAAAACTCTGTAAGAATTGCAGAGTAATTGGCATTTCTCAAAATCGTTTTTCAAATCAATAAAACCGGTTTACTTCAAAACAGTAATACGATTTCGGAAATTTAACTTTCTGCAAAAGTGAAACGACTAAATTCTCAATTTTTACCTGTAGCTTGACAGCAAGGCCATTGAATTCCATGCAAAACTGCCTACGATAAACAATAAAAATAAATATGCCTGTGTTTTGAAATGTTCAAGCAAAACAAAACTAATTTTTAAACAAGACCAATTTTTACAATCTATGTAATCATTTAAAAGCTTTTTCCTTACTCACTACACACAACGCATTATTATGGAACATCTTCAATGTTCAATTGGATGCATTGAAGTCTGTCTCAGTAATGACTGGGTATCAAACAACAATTTCTCTATAAAATTAACATAAAACTGACCATCACAGGTTGTATGCCATGATGGTAAGCCAACAAAAAAGTTTATTTAAGATCACATTGGTGATCGCCATTGATAAATGAGCGATGATAAGGGCTTAGTAGAAGTGTCATAGCGTAAAAACGTATCGAAGTGCTAGTACAAACAATCAAAATATTTACCTCATATGCTCGTATTTCCAAACCCCTTCATCTTGTCCGTCTGGGGGCTCCAAAATCGCTTCAATTTTGCTATTATCCACACGAATTATTTGTTGAATGTACTGAAAAATAATTTACAGATCAAGACCACTGAGCTGGAGGTAATACGCCGAGAGATTTAAAAGTCGCAGCACCACATTTTAGTCTTAAATAAAGACACGTTGTAAGAATTATTGCTGGATTTGGGTGTTGGTTGCAATTACCAAAGAATTAATTTCAAGATTCACATAACAATCATGTTTTCAAAGAAATGAGGCAAAAATTCGCTTTATTTTTCTATAGTTTCAATTAATTAAGGTCAGTGTCAAATTTTGATGATTCCGTTTAGCTAGTGATACTTTGCACATTTCAGAAAATGCATAAGTTGTAACGCAAGAAGAAATATGTAGACAGTTGATGAAAAAAGACCTGAATTATTGCAACATAAAAGACCTGAAAGGGTTGATAAGTTTATCGGGAAGGCGATAAGTTGATAAGTTGCTCTTATATGTACCTGAAAAAAATCACCAGCATTTAGGTTGCTAGTTAGTAATACAAAAAACAGTTGTAGTGCCAAGCGATTGGAATCATCAAACCGTCAGGATACTTTCATGAGGAGAGTGTTCACTATGAATTATTGCTGACAATTTGCAAGTTTACATTTCATACAATAACTGCTTGTTGAGATATTTATAAATAGTTATGAATGAAGGATTCTGGTAGATATTCTGCCTATGCAAGAAATTATATTTTCAAAAGAGAAAGAAGATAATTCACCTAACCTGTTGAACTGCCAATGTGCTGTCCATTTCATCGAAAGGTTGGTCAGGCCATGAAGAAATTTTCTGTGTGAGAAGATAAAAATTTCTAAAAATGCTCAATCATATTTTTATACAGAAAATCCATTGTCTTGAAGCAGTCGCATAGCAACGTGGAATGTTGTTCGTTGTTTTGCTCTTTTTCTGATTGAATGCATTCTTTGACGTGACGGAACTGATGCGCTGTTTTGTTTTGAAGAAGGAGTGTTTCGAAATCAATTTTCAAACAATCTCATTTTCCTTTGCATTTATCTTGTGAAGCTCATCATCATCGCAAGGAGCATATTAATTGTTTAACTGCGATCCACTGTGATTTTGTGTCTTGAAAAGAGTGCCAAACTGTTTTTAAAAACCCCGAAAACGGGGCTGCCTTTTCGAAACAGAGGTTCCGGAGCAAACCGTATCGGATTCATGCGTTCTCACGAGCTCAGAAGCGATCCGATATGATTCCATTCCAAATTCACAGCGGTGGTTTTGACTCCGCAAAAACGATACGGAGCGTATCGGATTCAAGCGTCATCGTGTGAACAGAGGGCCTATCCGATATGAAAAGCGATCCGATACGAAATGAACCCGGTATCGTGTGAACAGGGCCTTAGATCACAAAAATGTGGAGATAGGGTTTTCAAACTAGAATAGTCTGCAAATCTCTAAAGGGCTACGGGGAAAAGATTCCTTTCATTGCAAACGGTTTTGCAGGAAACTGATTATGCATATCAGAATCTTTTTTTCTTTTCATGTTCCCTTCTTTGCAGGGTGTGAGGATATGGTTGCTCTCCATTTTTTTCTGTCGTTTGGCTGTTTTTACTGCCTTGCTGTATTTCATGCCAATCCAAGCCATTATATTGTCTGTCCCAGGGGCGGATCCAGAGCAAACTTGAAGGAGGGGCAGTTGGTAGTTGGGGCGCTGAAAATTTTTCAAAAATTGACGACGAGAGAACGCTGTATACAACAATTTCAGATCCATTTTCGGAATAAACAAAATAACTTTGAAGTAATCCTTGAAGCAAATCAACCTATTGTTCTCAGAAACTTTTTCACCTGATTCTCATTCTTCAAAAGGGGTGCACAATTTCCAAAAAAAGGGCGCCATACTTGCTTCAACTCGTCGAGGGAGGGGCAACTGCCCCTAGTTGCCCCCCTTAAATCCGCCACTGGTCTGTCCACATCACTCTAGGTCTTCCCTTTTTTCTCTTTCCTTGATTCTTCCCTTGAACAGTATTCTTGAAATGTTGTTTCTTCTTGTGAGATGGCCAAAAACCTGAGTTTCCTTACTCTTAAGATGCTTTCCAGTTGTGTGCTCTCATTTCCGATGTTTTCCAGGACATTTACATTTGTGATCTTATCTTTCCAGGATATTTTTAGCATTCTCCTGTATGTTCACATCTCAAAGACGTTTATTCTTTTCATGATGTTTTTGCCAATGGTCAGACCTTCATGGGAAAAATATAGCAGGCGTGCTTAACCACCTCACACCTGAAAACATCCATGCGTGTGGTGGCATGTGACATGTGACATCGCAAAAATTTATGGTAATTATGATAGATCTACGCAGAAATTGCCAGCACAAAAATGATGACAGCAATAGTTTTAACAAAATTTACTTCACTGAATTCTTACCACCACTACTTACATTTTAACTAGAAACGTGGTATTTCTGAAGATTTGAGCATTTTCCTACATAAGTATAAACTGAGCTTATTTAATATATCAGTAAAAACACGGTACTGCAAGTAGAGATAGTTTTTCATGTCATAAGCAAACAGAGTCATTGATGTTTTGGCGTTCTTCTGGTCGTAACGTTTTTGCATGTAAATCTGTGCCGCAGAGGGCCCTCTGTTATCAAGCAAGATAGCTATTTTATGCACTTCACTGGCAGAAGTCGATAACCCATAATGTATAAAAGATAATAATGGGTCATTTTTCATCAAATTTAATGTTGCCAAGATCTAGATTTAGAGCATAGCAAAATCTTGAGAGGAGGGTATAGGAGGGGAAGCAAAATCTGCAAATTCGCTAATTTTTATAGCATAATCAGCAAATCTGCTACTTTAGCTAAATTAGAGATCGGAAATGTAAAATCATTTTACCACACCCAATATTCCTCTTAAAATCAGGGGACAAAAATGTCTGTTATAGTTTTCTATAGCCTGTGCCCCAGTCCACAAATGCTGCCACATTTATGGGCATGTGCAATCATGCCCCATTAATCCAACGCTTTTTGCATCTGGCAACCTTAACAATTTAGAATTTAGTGTGGAAATAGTTAAACAGACTACATTAACAGCAATTAGCAATACAGATGCCTGAAAGACACATAAAACTCAGTGCAGGTATCAAGCAGGCCTGGCCGTTTGTATTTTTATAGGTGAGCTGTGAATCGCTCCCCTCATTTGCTAAGGCGAGCTAAATCAGTAACACATAGAATGTACTTTAAAGACAATCGACAGATGACTTAATAAGCCCTTTAGTATCTGTCGGTTGCCTTTAATAGCCTCAGTCAGGAGTATGCTGTTTTACTTCTTTCAATTTGTATTTGCTTTAACCGTGACTTAGGCACCCCCTTTACTTGAAGTATTTAAAAGAACAGACTCTTTCAGTTTCATGTAAAGCTGGCACAACACAAAAGCAACAATTCTCTTGCAAAACAATTTTTTTGTTGTACAGAATTTGAAAATGGCTTTGAAAAAAAGTTTTAAAACAAGCTGAAGTTATACGTCTAGCAATCTTCAGAGAATAAAACGTCAGAACAAAGATGGAAAACTTTACGCTAAAATACCCAGTTTTGGATCGAAATAGGCCAATCAGAAAGCGCAAGCACATGACTGTTGAGGTTGTACAATCAGTGCCGCTTTCCTATTGAAAATGTTACCAACGGAGTCCTAAGGTGAAAACGAACAAAAGCGGTTGGTCATGTTTATATAGTAGATAGATTCACAAACTGCTAGATGGAACGATGATCAGGCTTTGCCAATAATGCCAAACATGTTGCCGTTATAGTTTTCACCCAATCTGGGGTTTTCAGTAAATACCGCTGGATAGTGGAATTCCATATTTTGGTTGTCGTTTTTGATCTGCAGCACAGAGTACCTTGTTCTCTTGTTTTCTATTTCTGGAAGGGACCTGCTGTCTTATTATATCCCCAATCTACAATTCCTACCAATTTCTTCGACTTTCCTTCCAAAAATATTCCTGTTTTCTTAAGATTGAAAGGTTCTAATCGCTACAAATGTACCTTTCGGTTAACTATCTTTTTCCAAATAGATCAAAGTTTATGCCTATCATAACAAAAACCGCCCAACAAGCAAAAAGTTAATTGCAAAAAATGCAATGACGGGAGAAATCGCTGTTACAAAAATAAACCAATTAACCCTTGTGCGTTTTCATAATTCTCTGAATAGGAAATTTTAGGGGAGCGATTCTTCCTTCTTGTTCTGTTTAGGAGAGCAATTAATAGCTCGCCTCAGGTTGAGAGGGGAGCGTGGAGGCGAGCGCGAGCTATCGCTCGCCTCAAACGGCCAGGCCTGTATCAAGCCATATGTGCCCTAGCTGTGACTTGTTTAATTAATGTATTTAATAAAAGTGTTAATGAAAATTTAAACAACATATAAAGTAAAAGTAATTGTGTTATAGAATTGTAGAGTGTGAATAATGTTATACGAACAAAGGAAAATAATGCAGTGGTGAAGGATATATAACCATTTGGGGTGCAGTAGATACACTTTTAATTTCAATTTGAAAGAATACTTCTTGGATCTGGTGGTAACGAATTCCAGGGTTTTATTTTTTAGAAATTACAAAAAATTTCTTAACTGTAGTTGATTTGTTGTATTTTGTTGTATTATTGTAAAATGTCATTTGTTGTATTGTTGTAGCATTTTGGTTGCACTGAATTAATTTTCCATAGCGTTATTTCTGTTTTTTATTACTAATTTCAAACATGAATTTAGCAATTTCTAGCTTTTAGAGTTTGTTTCTCTCTATCTATTTATCTA